CAGAATGTTGGTTATTTAGCAGAAGTTTTTGTTGTGGTTAAAGTTGCATTTATTTTACCTTCATAGATTTATGTTTGGGGAAGGATTTCTTCCCAGACAGGATCTTCCAAGGAAAGGGCAAATTGGATATACTGCCTGCTGCTTGGCTTTTGCATTCTGTGCCCTTTATTAGGATCACCACTCACAGATAAAAAATGACAAATTGCAAGTCAGATCAATGCAGGTGCAGTCATAAGTACTACGTGAAATGGCTTAGGCGTAATGATAATAAATAATCCCTCCAAAACCCCAAACAATAATAAATTGGTCATTTTCAATCCATGACTATTTGTGGGACATTGCTGTGCACAATTGGCTGCCGCATTCGCCCACAAATATACAGTCAATTCACTTTATAGTATATTCTGTTAAGCGCTTTGGGACGTCTAAAAGACGTGAAAAGCGCTACATCAAATGCAAGGATTATTATTATTATTATTATTATTAATGATCACATCTTGGAACCAGTTTAGCAAGGAAGGAAGGAAGGAAGGATGGCACTTTATTGTGCCATATTACATTAAAATGTATCACAGTAATTACTGTTAACTAACTGGTTTTGAAAGCAAATGTGGCAGTTACAAACAGTCAGAAGCTGAATGACCAATTTAATCTGGATTGTTGGTTGGACATTGGCAGAAATTCCCTTCTCTTTTTGAGTAGTGTGGTGCGATCTTTAACATCCACCTGAGGGCACATAGACATGACTTTGGTTTAATATCTCATTCAAAGGGTGATGCCAACGACAATGCAATGACACCTTAGCACTGCACGAGTGTGTTAACCATTATCTGCAATTTCCTCTCCTCGCTTGAAGTTATTGGCTCATCCTGAGATATGGATACCCTTTGGTGTCTTACTCACATGGCCATTAGCAAGGAACAAGAATGTATTGTAATGTATTGATGGTTGGGGCAGATTGTTCTGCAACTGTTGCCCTAAGGGTCAGGAATAGATCACCAAAGATTATTTGTCATTGTTCCGAGACACTATTGGAGTATCTGGACAACAGTGATCACAACATCATTAGGTTTAGAGTACTTATGGAAAGGGACAAGGAGCAATCAAAGGTGAAGATACTCAACTGGAAGAGGGATAATTTCAGTGAGTTAAAAAGGGACCTAGCCACGGTGGATTGGAAAGAAAGATTGGCAGGTAAAACAGCTAACGAGCAATGGGAAGCCTTCAAGGAGGAGGTAGTTCGGGGACAGAATAAATGCATTCCCACAAAGGGGAAAGGCAGGGCATCCAAACCTCCCTGGGTGAATAAGGAAATTGGGATTAAAATAAAACAGAAAAAGAAGGCTTATGATAAATGCCAGGTCCAAAATACAGAAGATAATCAAATAGAATATAGAAAGCACAGAAGTGAACTGAAAAAGGAAATAAGTGGGGCAAACAGATTAAATGAGAAAAGGTTATCAGATAACATAAAAAGGAACCTATTATATAAGCATATAAAGAATGAAAGGTTAGTCAAAGGTGGGGTGGGTCCAATTAGGCACCAAAGAGGAAATCTTCGTGTGGAGGCAGAGGGCATGACTGATGTACTGAATGAGAATATGAGAATACTTTGCATCTGTCTTCACAAAAGAAGAGGATGCAGCGAATGTCACAGAATCGTAGGAGAGGGTAGAGAAATTGGATAAGATAAACCGAGAGGAGGTACTAAAAGGATTGATGTGCTCAAGGTATATAAGTCACCTGGTCAAGACGGGATGCATCCTAAGTTACTGAGGGAAATAAGGGTGGAAATAGCGGAGGTTCTGGCCACAATCTTTCAATCCTCCTTGGACACTGGGTTGGTGCCAGAGGACTGGAGAGTTGCAAATGTTACTCCCCTGTACAAAAAGGGGCAGAAGGATAAACCCAGGAACTGCAGGCCAGTCAGCCTAACGTCAGTAGTGGGGAAACTTATAGAGACTATAATTTGGGACAAAATAAATTTTAATTTAGAAATAAGTTAATAAAGGACAGCCAACACGGATTTGTTGAAGGCAAATCGTATCTAACAAACCTGACAGAGATTTTTGATGAAGTAATGGAGAGGGTGGATGAAGGTATTGCAGTTGATGTAGTTTATATGGATTTTCAAAAGGCGTTTGACAAAGTGCCACATAAGAAACTCAAAGCCCAAGGTATTAAAGGGACAGTAGCAGCATGGATACAGAACTGGCTGGGAGACAAAAAGCAGAGAGTGGTGGTGAACGGTTGTTTTTCTAACTGGAGGGAAGTTTGCAGTGGTGTCCCCCAGGAGTCGGTATTGGGACTACTGCTGTTTTTTATCTATATAAATGAGCTGGACTTGGGTGTATGGACTACAATTTCCAAGTTTGCAGATGATACTAAGCTAGGATATGTACTAAACAGTGAGGAGGATAGTATCAGACTGCAAGAGAACATAGACAGACTAGTAAAATGGGCAGACACGTGGCAGATGAAGTTTAATGTGGAGAAATGCAAAGTGATGCATTTTGGGAGGAAGAATGAAGAGAGGCAAAATAATCTGATGGTACAATCATAAAATGGGTGAAGGAACAGAGAGACCTGGAGGTTCATATAAGTAAATCTTTGAAGGTGGCAGAACAGCTTTTTAAAGCTGTTGAAAAAGCAGATGGGAGACTAGGCTTTAGAATACATAGAATACAAAAGTCTGAAAGTTATGATGAACCTTTATAAAACAGTGGTTGGGCCTCAGCTGGAGACTGTGTTCAGTTCTGGGCAACACAATTTAGGAAAGATGTCAAGGCATTGGAGAGGGTGCAAAGGAGATTTACGAGGATGGAGGACTTCAGTTATCAGGCGAGGCTACAGAAGCTAGGATTATTCTCATTGGAGCAAAGGAGGTTAAGAGGAAACTTAATAGAAATTTTCAAAATTATGAGGGGATTTGATAGGGTGAACAAGGAGAAACTGTTTCCGCTTTCGGGTGGGTCGGTAACCCGAGGGCACCGATTTAAGATAGTTGTTAAAGAAAACAGAGGGGAGATGAGGAGAATTTTTTTCACACAGTGAGTTGTTCGGATCTGGAATGCATTGCCTGAAAGGGTGGTGGAATCCGATTCTATAACAACTTTTAAGAGACTAGATAATTATTTGGGGAGGACAAGTTTACAGGGGTATGGGGAGAGAGCAGGGGAGTGGGATTGATTCGGATAGCTCTTTTCAAAGAACCGGCACAGACACGATGAGCCGAATGGCCGCCTTCTATGCTGTATAATTCTATGATTCTATTCTATGATACTCCATATGAAAGGCACATGAAAGGCAAGTTGTTTTTGTGGCTGTTGTCCACAAAAATTTTCTTTTGCATTGACCCTCTGTAAATTCTGGATTTAAGCTCTCCACCATGTTATAACAGCTGAAAATCGAGGTATTTCTCTCTCTCTAGTTTCATTTGAGTAGAAGTTGCTTTCATTCACAAGGAATTGTCGGTTCTATTAGAATTGTACTTATGGAGTTTCTGTATTTGATGCACAACACCTTACATAGTGGAAACAAGTGTTTGAAGGGAAATGCGACTGAGTCACTAATTTATTTCCTTCTCCAACTTACCTTCATGTTATTTAGCGGTTGCCTGTGTGTATTTTCTTAGTGCCAATGATTAAATAATGGAACACTTTTTGTTCACCTGAGTTTTCATTTGAATGTGGAAGATATCCATTCCCCAGTTTTGCTTTCATTGATCAAAAAAAGCACTTTCGTTAAATACTCTTTTCATCCAGACCTTTTTTTTAAAACAAATTCCATCAATAGTTCTTCTAGTCACTCCATTTTAGATGTTTCAACAGCATGATAAGGAGCTTTATTGAATGCAAAGATTATTATTTTTATTATTCTTTTAGGAAAATGTGAAATGGATATAATGACAATATCAAACTGCCTCAGTTTGATGTTTTCTTTACCTCCCCAGAAATTTATAGCAACCATTCTATTTGAAAAATCATGAAAATGCATTCCAGGCAAGCTTCTTTTAATAGTTCATTTGATATAATGGAAGGGGATATACAAAATAAACATTGAGACGCATGCCATGCTAGAAATGTTTTGTGTGGATCTCCCTTACAGCGTTTTGTCTTATTTTTTTAATAAGGCAAGCGTAACCCATAAAGTACTGCACTAGATCACTCGGAGCAGTAGAGGAAATCAAATTCCAGTGACTAACTTGACTTGTCTAAAGCAGCGAATGTGCATTTCTTTCTGTTGCACAGCTTATTCACTCTTTCCCCCTTGCTGTGAGGATTTCACTCAGTTTGAATAACAAACGTGGGGCTTTAAATTTCACCTAAGCTTGGTCTATCAGACCATTTTGTTTTAAAATGTAAGAATTGGATACATTTCTTAAATTCATTTTTTTCTGTTATTCTTAAAAAGTCCAAGATGACTGAAGTTTAGATATTTTTCTGAATTCCTGGTGATCACAGTTCTAATGGACCCTTTATGACAAAATAGTCTTGCAGATTAACACTAGATAGAATTCCAAGCCTATAGTGCCCCTGCCCCTTTACCAGGTTTGTGGGAAGTTAGTTCCTGTCTCCCATTGAGTAATTGGAGTAACTGGAGGTATAAGCCTGACTGTTGTTGGGAGTTTCCGTCCTTCGGATGAGATGTCAAACTGAGGTCCCATTAGCCTGTCAGGTGGACGTTAAAGATCCCATGGAACTATTCAAAAGAGAGGGGAGTTTCTCCAGGTGTACGTGCCAACAATCCACCAAATAAAATTTGTTATTCACTTTATGGTTGGTTGTGGGATATTACTGTGCACAAATTATCTGCTTTGTTGACCCACAAAGTACAGTCACCATGCTTTACCGAAAAAATACTGTGCAACCCATTGAGACATTTTGACGACATGACAAGGTGCTGTATCAAATGCAGAGGCTGCTTTTATTTGTTATAATGTTATTATTTATGCACAAAATAACTGTTTATGTGCTCCCACCCCTCTCTTTCAACTCCAGGTATCTGTGGAAAAAGTCCTCAAAACAATGAAGAAGAATGCAGAGAAGGCTGTGAACATAATACTCGATGTCATTCCACAGATTGCTTCCATGGACTGGTCTGACACTATCAAGAACTTGAAGGTGGGTTCAGCTGTCAGTTTGGTAGGGTGCAAGTACAAAGTGCTTCTTCTGCAGTACATTGTGGGTATTGGTGAACCCTGAAAGGAAGGATGAGTCTGCTCTTTTGATCATTAGCCTATAGAACAACAAAATCTCAGTGGAGACACTTCCATGTAACTAAGTACTATAAATATCTTCGATAACATAGTTACCTTTTGTTATCTTGCTTCCTTCCCCGTAGAGTCTTGTCATTTCCGCAGCTCCTTTAACCCCTTCACCACTGCTGAGACACCAGCCTCTGCCCAAGGCAGTGCCCAGCAGTGAGCGTAAACACATTTTTGTGGGATTAGGAGGTCTAAGAATAATGATAACGCTTGCATTGGGACTGGCAATGCATCAGCGCCTTGGGACGTCTTCCCAACTTGAAAGGCGCTATACAAATGTAATCTTGTTGTTGTTGTTGCATTTGATATAGTGGCTTATCACTCCGTTGAGATGTCTCAAAGTGCTACACAGAATAAATTGTAAAGTAAAACTGTATATTTAGTGGGCAAAACACAGCAGCCAATTGCGCACAGCAGTGTCCCACAAACCGTCGTGGTTTGAGTGAGCCCAAAAAACATTTTTGAGGGACTATTACCTCCTGAAAGCAATTCATCCGGGTTCCTATTTACTGCTAGTAAAGTGAGGCATGTGGCCTAAGGAAACTTGCCTAAGGTTTCACCCGCCCAAGAATCGAACCAGGGTCCACTCGCTTCTGAAGCGAGCTTCCTTTCCCGCCACTCCCTTCTCGAACCCCTCCAATCGGGCTTCCGTGCCACCCACAGCACAGAAACCCCCCTGATCAAAGTGACAAATGACATTCTGTCCATCTGCGACCACGGGCTTCCTCTGCTTCCTCGTCCTCCTTGACCTCTCTGCTCGCTTTCGACACCGTCGACCACTCTATCCTCATCCACCGCCTCTCCTCTCACCTCAATCTTCACGGCGCTGTCCTTGATTGGTTCAGATCGTACCTCTCACACCGCCTGCACTTCACCTCCTCAAACCGCTTCTCCTCTAACCCCGGACCGTCTCATGCGGCGTTCCTCAGGGCTCTGTCCTTGGTCCCCTCCTCTTCAATATCTATAGGCTCCCCCTTGGTGACATCATCCGCAGACATGGGGTCAACTTGGACATGTATGCGGATGACACCCAACTCTACCTCTCTGCCTCTACCCTTGATTCCAAGACCATTGCTGTGCTGACAGAATGTCTGTCAGACATCAAGTCCTGGATGAGAGCTAACTTTCTTCAGTTGAACGTCAATAAGACCGAGGTTCTCTTGATTGGCTCCCGTCAGTGCCTCCTCACCTCAGACGCTGACAACATCACCATCCATGGTTGCACACTCCACCTCACGGAGCCAGTCTGGTACCTTGGGGTCTTGTTTGACCCTCAGCTATCCTTTCTATCCCACATCTGCGCCATGACCCGCTCTGCCTTCCCCCACCTCCGCAACATCGCCGGCTCCGACACTGTCTCGCACCACAGGCCGCCGAAACCCTCAGACAAGTCTTCATTGCATCGAGGCTCGACTATACAAACTGATTACTTGTCGGCCTCCCCAACTGCTCCCTCCACAGACTACAGATCATCCAGAACTCTGCAACCCGTGCCTCTCCCCATCCTTGCCCAACTCCACTGGCTTCCCATCACACATAGAATACAGTTCAAGATCCTGGTCCTCACCTTCAAAGCCCTCCACAGTCTTGCTCCCCCCTTCCTCTCCGACCTCCTAACCCCCTACCACCCTGTTTGCTCCCTCTGCTCAGCGGGCTCCGGCCTGCTCATCCCACCATTGGCATGCGGGCCTTCCGCCACCCTGCACCCACCCTCTGGAACTCAATCCCTCAGGCCCTCCGTTTCGCCCCCTCCCTCGCCACCTTCAAGACCCACCTCAAGACCCTCCTCTTCAACCGTGGTTTCGATCTCCCTGCTTCCCCCCCTGCCCTCCACCATCCCCCACCTTGACCCTCAGCTCGGATCCATGTCTGTCCAGCGCCTTGGACATCCTCCCAACGTGAAAGGCGCTATAGAAATGTAATTTTGTTTTTGTTGTTGCTGCATTGCTGAGTGGAATGATGCCTGTTTAACCTCTTTACCTGGAAGGGTGGTGGTAGGGGGGATGCTGAAGGGAGCTAAAATGGGGATTGGAAAAAGGATAGGATTGATGAATAATCAAACTGTGAATTTAAAATAAAATAATCTTATCCCAATCATATTGTTGGAAACAGCTTCACATTTCTCAGGCAGTTTTCTCCGAGGGACACAGGAGTGGAAGAGCTTGTCCAGGGATTGACTATGGATTGGATTGTGGGGAAAAACATTCTCTGGAAAAACTGTTACGACACACACTGGGCGGATTTTTTTGATTTAAATTATTCCAGTTTCACTTCCTCTCTCTCTCTCTTTCCCTCACAATAGATTCTATGACTGAGCTTTAAAAATATGTGTTCAAGTCATGTTAGTCGAGGCAGGGTACTTTAACTAAGCAATACAAAGCACCCACTAAATGCCTGTCGACTTGTGGGGTCACCCTTAGTGTCTAAGTGGGAAATTTAATTCTGCACTTCAGAAGCCTGCAGAAGTGTCAGGAATTCTCTTCTGACATTTGCTTTTTCCCCAACGAAGCAGTCTTTTCCAAAGATGCCCTAAAGCTATTCAGTACTTCGCCCACATACACATCAATTGCAGGAAAATTACGTCAGTCAAGGTTTGCCCGCACCTCGGAAACTACCGAGTTCCTAAAATTACAAAGGCCTCACTGCTCTTTTGTGAGTGATTTTCAGCTTGGTTCCTTCCATCTGGTGTAGCTCCCATTTGTAAACGTTTTATAGCTCAACAGCTGTCGTTCTAGCTAAACAATTTTGATAATGTACATGCCCACGATATCCTTGCTCATTGAAAATTATGAATCCAACTCAGATTTCTTTTTTGAAAAACTCTATTTTACTGCCCCTCCTGAAATCGGCACATTTAGTACAGATCAGGCATTGAACCCATGACCTTCTCATATTTATTGGCTTAGTGCTACTACAAGGCAATGCCTTTACCTACTAGAATATCAGGAGTGCTGTGTACAATATAGGCTTCTAGTTCTCTATTTCTAGTTCTCACTTTTTTCAAATGCTGTATCAGGTTTAGTATAGCTTTATTTTTATTATCTCATTTTCTTCCTGTCCTCTCTAACTTCTCGCTCCAACCCTCCCTGAATTTTTGCCAGGTTGGGCAACTGGTAAATAACGCCATGAGTGCCTAAGCACTCTGAGATGCTGACTAACGTGAGGGACCCTATATAAATGCAAATTGTTATTGTTTGATATTCTTTTTTATTATTTTGGTTTTGTGAAGGAAATACTAAAGTACATTTTTATGAGTTCAATAAGTTCTCAGGCTGATATTCAGAAACACATTCTGAACGTTAGCAGCTCTCGACATCTGCAACCAATAGGGGGTTTTTCTAGGAAGGTGAACATTTTTCTTTATGCAAATTATAAAGCAGTGGTGGTATTGAAAAGGAAAAACCTGGTCAAGAGAGTGTTAACTCTTTTCAGTTTCACCACACCCAGACCATCCACACCACCTTCTCCCCCCACCACAGCTGCTGCCACTGCCCCAAACTTACGCTCCTTTGCCCCCATTTCTCCCTCCTCCCTCTCAACCACAATCACCTGCATGAAGTTCATCAAATGCTGCCTCGGTCAGCTTCGGTCACACCTCTCCCTCCACTCCCTCCTCGAGCCCCTGCAGTCTGTTTTTTGCCCTGCCCACAGCACCGAGATAGCGCTTGTCAAAATCACAAACAACATCCTCTCTTTCTATGACCAGGGCTCCCTCTGCCTCCTCGTCCTCTTCTACTTTGTCTCCTCTAGCTGCGACTACAGGTCCGCCAATGTTCCATCAGCTTGTCTGGCGGACATCACGGCCTGGATGAGTGCAAACTTCTTGCAGCTGAGTGTGGACAAGACGGAAGCCATACTCCTTGATTCCCGTTAACATCTTCACTCCTGCGGATCTGACGTCTTAAACCTCCCCAGCCTCTTCCTCAGACTCATGAACCAGTGTGTAATCTAGGCGTCCGGTTTGATCCCCAGCTGTCCTTCCTTCCCACATCCGGTCCCTGACCAGGACCACCTTCCTCCACCTCTGCCACATTGCCAGCCTCCGACCGTACCTTACCATAAGTGCAGCTGAAACCCTCGTGCATGCGTTGTCACCTCTCGCCTGGATTACTCCAACGCACTTCTCACCGGTCTCCCCAGCTCTACTATTCAAAACATCCAGCTCATTCAGAACTCTGGCACCCACATACTGACCCGGACCAAACTCCGTACCCAGATCTCATCAGTTCTGGCCAGGCTCCACTGGCTTCCCATCACCGAACACATTGACTTCAAGATCCTCACACTGATGTTCAAATCCATTCACGCCCTGGCACCTCCCTATCTCTCTGACCTCCTCACTCCTGAATCAATCACTCGGCGCCTCCTCCCTGATGGCATTTTATACCCTTTAACCTACAATATTCTATAATGCGAATCCATTTTGGAATGGGCTCTCTAAAATGCTGTTTTTGGAACCAAATCTCTCTCAAGTGAATCATTAGAGGAACACTGCAGGGTAAAGCTCTGAAAGTTATTTGCTGGAGTATTTGCCGGTAAATACACAACAACAATGTTTTATTTCTTTAAAAAAAAGAAAAGAAATTTAACAAACTTGCCACAAGGTGGCTGAGCTGCTAACTGAAGCTCTTAATTCCTGGGTAAAAGTGGCAGCCTTCGCTTTACATTGTTGAGCTTTAGACATTCTAGTCTGGCCAGGTGGAGTGTTTGTTTAGTGCTTGAGTAAATTGTAAGTACAAATGAGCTTCTTATACATGATGGGAACCCTCTGCTTCTGATTTCTGGATCCTTACCACGAGAATGTAGAGGATTCATGATAGTCCAAGAGTCTCTTTCTGTGTACGAATGTGTACTGTTGTATGACTGCACAAGAGATTTTGCTTACCATCTCTGACTCGTTGGAGTGAGTAAAATTGTGAGGTTCGTCATAGAATTGTTAAATAGGGAATTTGCAACTATGCTCAGATCCCTATTTCGTGCCGGGCCACAATCCGGAAGGTGAAACTGACATTGGCAACTGAGCGAAGTTTCAGTGAGTCACATCCAAGTACATCCAAGATTTGTGATTAACTGAACTTTATTCCAAACTCATAATTTAGTCCACAAAAATAATAATGCTGTACTGTAATAATAATCCTCCTGACATGAAAGTCTCTATACAAATGTAATTTTGTATTGTGTTATCACATCTTTGAGACAGTTCAAAGCACTTTACAGGGTTTACTGTGTTTTTAGGTGAACCTTCAGTTTCAAATGAAGATGGGTTACAAAGACCGTGTTTTAATAGTAAACCCTGACATTTGCTCTAAACCTGTCTGTCGGTTGCCTATCAATGTGATCATCTTCCTCCAAAACACACCGTATAACAGATGTTGCAGTGAGAGGAAACCATTTTCCTCCAGTCTTTAATGTGAGGTGTTTTAAGGAGGATTTTTTTCTTTGCTTTCCAGGACTCCTTGCAGATTTCCATTATGTTACCACAATAGAGATTGACCACCTGGAAGATGATCCTTCTGTGATCGAGTTCTCATCATTATAGTTTATCTTAGTATTTCAAGGTTATCATTTATACAGCACAGTGTTTGAATTATCTGCATGTGTACCCCCAGTAAAAGTTGAAACAAGAACTAGAAATGGTGGTATTGAGCTGTACATTATTCATATCAATCTTTCTCAGTCTGTCTATCTAATACTATTACCTGGAAATGTGCCTGTTATCACAGTCAGTTAACCTATGTAATTGAACGTTGTGGCTCCTCAATATCCTTTCAGCATGTGATTTGTAATTTCAAAAGCCGATTAAATCTCTCCCCTACCCTTATCTGTTCTGGTGAAATATCCTTATCTCAGGCGCTTATTACTCCTTCAATATTGTGATATATTATTTATGCATCTACCAATGAATTAGTTAAGAGCATGTATTTCTGTGGTAATATTGCTCCTAAACATGCATCATCGTGTTTCATTTTATTTATAATAATAAATAATAATAATCCTTTAGTTTAATATAGCGTGTTTCATGTCGTTAAGATGTCTCAAAACACTTCACAGAATACACTATAAAGTGAATTGACTATATTTTGTAGGTGAAATATGCTTCACTATATACTTCACCATATTTTGTGGGCAAAATAAATATATTTTATTATGTTCAGGTAACTGATATCCAATGCAGTGTTGGGGGATGTTTGCATTGTCAGAGGTGCCGATCGCCCATTCAAATGGACATTAAAAATCCTATAGCACGATTTGAAAAGCAAAAGGAATTTCTTCTGATGTTCTGGCCAGCAACCAAGATAATATTAGTCAGTCGATTTTGTGGTATATTGCTGTGCACAAATTGGCTGCCACGTTTACCGACAAAATACACAGTCACTACATTTTTACACTTTGAAGCACTTTGAACCACATGATAACAACAACAATAAGATTACATTTGTAGAGCGCCTTTCGTGTCTGGAAATAATAATAAAATAATAAGGTGCTGTATCAAATTCCAAAGATTATTATATTGATTATAAACACCAAATCAAATGAAAACTGCATAATATGGCATTTGTATTTTTGAGCTTCGGTGTAATTGGATCACAAAAATATTCCAAAATGAAACTTTGCAACTAATTCAGATAAAATAATAATAATAATAATCCTTGTATTTGATATAGCGCTTTTCACGTCGGGAGGACGTCCCAAAGCGCTTCACAGAACACACTGTAAAGTGAATTGACTGTATATTTGTGGGCGAACGCGGCAGCCAATTGCGCACAGCAATGTCCCACACACAGTCGTAGATTGAAAATAATAATAATAATAATAATAGTCCTTGCATTTGATATAGCGCTTTTCACGTCGGGTGGACGTCCCAAAGCGCTTCACAGAACACACTGTAAAGTGAATTAACTGTATATTTGTGGGTGAACGCGGCAGCCAATTGCGCACAGCAATGTCCCACAAACAGTCGTAGATTGAAAATGACCAATTTATTATTGTTTTTGGTTTTGGAGGGATTATTATTAGGTGTGTGGAGTAAGCAAACTTGCCCAAGGTTTCGCCCTGCCTGGAATTGAACTCAGGTCACTCACTTGCAAAGAGAGTGCTCTCACCACTGAGCTACAGGACTCCAGGACTCAATAGTTTATTAACTCAGAAGTGCCCAGATAATTTTCAAACTCTGAAAATCCGTCTAACAAGAAGTCCGATAACACGATGGTTCCATCCAACCGTATTCTTCATCCATGGAATGAATGCTTCCATGGCACAAGGACAGGGTGAAAATCCTAAAGAGCAGTTTCACAATAAAAGATGAAATGATATTCAAAATAAGTGAGTACAGTCCTATGTTTTCCTGCTACAATAATAGCTCAAGTTGTTGCACCCTCCCAACTTTGCCCGAGGTTTAGAACTGTCAGCTAGATAAAGATTCCTTTGTCTTCTGTTTGTCACTTCAGTGTTTTGCAATTCGCTGTACTTAAATTGTTCCTAAACCACGTGCTATTGAATTTTCCTCCACGGAGTAAGTGTGCACAGATTAAACCGGTTTATACAATGGTGTGGCTGTACCAATACTAGCTGTGCAAACATCATACTTTAATTTGGAGAAATACAGGTGAGATCTTCTGGAGTGCATTTCGGATCAGTTAATGCAACTGTGATTGTCTCATCAAAACAAGTTTGTAGTGTGGATATTAACATGGGTTAAATTGTAAAAGATTAAGGAATACTTGTCACATATGTTACATAGGCTGAACATTTTGTGTGAAGTAATACTGGAGATCTGGCCATGCCGTGCTTGATGCCTTCATCTGTTTGTAATGAATAATAATAATAATAATAATTCTTGCATTTGATGTAACGCTTTTCACGTCTACTAGACGTCTCAAAGCACTTCACACAATGTACTGTAAAGTGAATTGACTGTATATTTGTGGGCGAAAGGTGGCAGCCAATTGCGCACTGCAGTGTCCCACGAATAGTCGTGGATTGAAGTGACCAATTTATTACTGGAGGTTTTTTTATGAGGGATTATTATCAGGCTTGTGGAGTAAGGTAAACTTGCCCAAGGTTTCGACCTACCAGGAATCAAACCCAGGTCTCTGGCTTGCGAGGCGAGTGCTCTAGCCATTGAGACCCCGGATCCAGAAGGAGACTTTATTCTTAACCTCTTTCTTACTTGGTGATTACTTTTAACCTGTGCTTCTAGTTAGATTACTTGACCAATGAGATAACTTCTCACTGTTTATTTTATTAGTCTATCTATTGTAATGTCTAAGAAACACATGAATGGCTCTTTGTGCTGTTCTTCCTAATTCCTTTTGTAGACTGATATGTTTGTGTGGTGCCATCTTAAAATTTGAATTCTCACCTATTTCTTGCATTGCATTACCTGATACAAGACTCTTCTCTGATTTCAGTTTGATTGGTGACTCTGATGATATTGTACTATGGAAGTGGAATATGACCTTTGTTGTATTTTGGAGTTAAGTTACTTTGTTCAATCTGGTTTCTTCTACTTCTTTTGAATCATTGGATGAATGCACATTAGAAAATGACACTTTTAGGATTAGGCATAACATGTTGAAACAAACTCCAACTTACAAATTTGATTTTAATTGATATTGCAACTTCATGTACACACACCAACAGATTGAACTAGCTTTTCTAAACCAATAAATTAATAAAATATAGTAGCTCAATGGTTAGAGTGCTTATCTCGCAAGCAAGAGACCTGGGTTTGATTCCCAGCAGGTCGAAACTTTAGGCAAGTTTCTTTACTCCACACACCTATTTACCTAGCAGTAAATAGGAACCCGGTTGTTAGTCGATTGGCAGATCGCTTTCCAGGCGTAATAATTCCTTAAAAAAACAATAATAATAAATTGGTCACTTCAATCCACGACTGTTTGTGGGACACTGCTGTCCGCAATTGGCTGCTGCATTTCACCCACAAAATATACAGCCAATTCACTTTACAGTATATTCTGTGAAGTGCTTTGAGATGGCTCAAAAATGTGATAAAGAGTTATATCAAGGGCAAGTATTGTTATTATTTATTTCCCACACCATTGTTACCAGGCCCTCCAGTATTTGAAGGCTGAATAGTGTGTGTTTTTTCTTGGAGCTGTTTCTTATCCTCAAGTCCTCTTGCTCTTACGCAATTTCTGCTTGTTTTTAATTCCATCACAATGACTTTACATGTTATGCATAGTCATTATGCACAGTTCTACACCTCAGATTGCACATTCTGAACCTCTCATTCTGTGAAGATTAATGTGCAAAAGTAGAGCCCCTTCGTCTCCAAAACTGAATCTGAGCTTCTTCTTTGTGGTAACACCTGTCACTATTGTCCCCCTAGCTGCACCAAATACTATCACTCACATAACAGTTTATAAAAGTTAGGATTGACTGTCTCTTCCAACTAATTTTTTGACCAGCCCGCTGTGTCTGACACATGCGAAAATCCATCACCATGGACGGGAGTACCCATAAAGGAAGTTTTTCCCACTGTTATGGCCAACAATCCTCCAAATTAAAAAAAGCAAATGGACTAAGGAATGTTGACCTCCTAGTGAGTTTGTAACTACTCTAATAACTGCACTAGTTGAAAAAGACTAAAAATGAAAAAGACTAAAAAAAACTTGAGTTTTAGCTGACCACATTAGATGAGTTTCCACTGGACAAGTGATACCAAGGTGCAATGTAAGGAAAGTTCATTGGTGCCTGCAATCGCAAGGAACTTATCTTTCCTCATTGTAGTAAAGACTATTGGAGTGCAACACAAGCACTCTCAGATACTAGCCTGCATGAATGGTGCTATATAAATGTAAATTGTTATGGCTTTGTTGTAGTACTCATTTTGACACAAGATGAAAATGGAAGAGTTAATTGAGCCATTATTCCAAGTAATACTGGTTGCAAAAGATAAATTATAATTGCCTTTCCAAAATAGCAGTAGCTGAGAAAATGCAGTTGAGTACTTACTGAACTATTGCCTCTCAAGCGGCTAACAGGCCTGCTTCATCTCCTCCATCCAATCCACTGCACTACCGGTGGGCCAACTTTCTGCCATTCTGCCGTAGTTCTCTGGGACTCCAAGGTGATACTGAGAATTTAGGAGGAACTGCTTCATGCAGATTGTAGTGAGAATTTGGAACTTGCTGCCTGAAATGGTGGTTAAAACATATACTATAGATGCACTTAAGAAGAAGCTAAATGTACATATGATGAGATAGAAGGGTATGGGAGAGAGTTGGAAGTGGGTGGAGACTCCAGTGGCATATAATACTGAACAGAGTGGTGGGTAACTGACCTGTTTATCTAAATCTTTTTNGTTGGTCAGCCAGGTGTCTGACAGAAGCAAAAACCAATGACCATTTTGAAGAGTTCCATGCATCCCACCTTCACATGGAAATTCCCATATATTAGAATGGAATATTTACCCTCCCTGCTTCCCTAATTCCAGAGACTATTGGGCTCAAGCTGGCAGGTGCCAAGGCTTAGGGACTGCAGAGTGTGCATTGGGGAACTATTGGAGGTTAACTAGCTAAAACATAGCTTGCTGTTAAAAGCAGTATCTGGGAAGCTTCCTGCTGCTTGTCCAGCTAGGACCATCCTACCCTTTAGGGCTTTGGCTTGCAGGGTTAACAGGATTTGAGTGGGATGACTCTCGGCCCCCGGTGACTGGTCTGCGCTTCCAAGTCCTGCTGATGAGCCAGACAGACTGTGCTGGCATCAGCACTGCCCTGGAATACTGCAGACCCGCCTGGCTCAGGAACTGGGCTACCGACACTACCGGGCTGGCTCAATTCTGGCATTCCATTGCCA